GCTGCAGTACTGTAATACCAGTGTAAGAGGTACAGTAGGGATGCTGCAGTACTGTAATACCAGTGCAAGAGGTACAGTAGGGACGCTGCAGTATATTTCAGTGTTATCATGAAGAATGACCGACAGCAGAGGGTCTGACGAACCTGGGCCGAACTCCTGCAGGACCCTGTGGTAGGCTGGTGCCCCAGGCTGGTACGTCTCGTGTCCCAGCCGGTCGCTGTCGATCCAAACGCCCCCAAGACCCTCCAGCCGCCGCGCGATCGAGCTCTTCCCACTCCCACTGCCCCCCGTCAGCCCAATCACATAGGGAAAGGGAGGAATGTGCGGATTTTCCTGCAGGACAGACAGGAAAGAGAGGGACACAGCATTACACGGGACACAGGAAAGAGGTATTGTTTAACACATACCATACCACATACTTCAGTGAGTTTTGAAAATGGACCTTAAGAATAAAATTCATAAATTCGTGGAAATTATAAGACTATACTGTTCCTGTCAAATAAGAGGAAGGAAGCAAAAGAATGTGGCAGCATTTGTTATTTGAGAGGGAAGTCGAGTCAGAGAGTGAACAAGTAAAAGTTATTCCATGCTAATAAGCAGAAAGCTATTTTAGCATGGATTTACTTTTTACTTGTTGCTGATTGTTGATTGAGTGACCCTGATGTTGAATTATCAAGAAATGGCAGGATAACATCTTAGGATCAATAGGCTACGAGCAACTAAATAAGCAAGACAGGCAGATGGGCTCTCTCATTTGCAAGCTTTCTTATATAAATTAGCAGATTTAGAATGACTACATTCTTACAAGTATACCAAGTTCTTCAAACATCTAAGCAATGATCCAACACAATGGAAGTTTAATCAAATCAATTATTGGGACAAAAAAGGTTCAGTTAAGGAAATGAAAATGCTCCATGAAGCCACTGGCATTATCAAAATCAAAGACTGTACTGCACCGTACTCTTGATGCAAAATCCAGATCTTAAAGCCCACTGTAACAAACAGGGTTTGATTTATTTCTTAATCAATTAGAAACCTGTCATTTTAATTCCATAAATCGATCTGGTATTCTTGTATTCGGCACTTCACCCACGTTCTAACTGCTTCTTTCAAGTGGGGGAGCTGGTGCCTATCCCAGCAAGCAACGTGTGCAAGACAGGGTACACACCCTGGACAGGACACCACGGCACACAAACACACACACCAGGACCAGTTTTCCCCAGAAGCCAATTAACCTTCCAGCAAGTCTTTGAACTGGGGAGGAAACTGGAGCACCCGGGGGGGGAAACCCTGTGAACACAGGGAGAACATGCAAACTCCACACATACAGCACCCCCCTGGTCCAGAATAGAACCCAGGTCCCCAGCACTGCGAGGCAGTAATGCTGACCACTGTGCCACTGAACCACTGCGTTCAGTACTCTTTAGGAAAAAATCTCTTTGCAGGCTGTGCTGGTGACCAGACCACATAACTTGATTGCCGGCAATCACTGGACTGATTTGTGCAGCAAAGCAAGCACTCCAATTTCAGTAAATATCTGGCCAAGGGTCTATGTTTTGGCAAATTCCGATACAGTCAAGGTCTCACTGGGCCACTGCATTGAGGACTTCCTGGTTTGAATTCAGGCTCACATGCTGCTATTTTGATAGCAAGGAGCTCACATGCTTCACCTTTTGCAAAGGGGACTGTGTGAAAAAAGCACATAAACAAAACTTGATAACCCACCCAAGAGTCTGTAGCTCACAAAAATTAGCACAGAGGTCACTACCACTTCATGGCTTTCTTTGATATAAAAAGGTCTGTGTGATCCTGAAATAGATTGTGGGACATTTTGTCCCACTTGGAACAAAAGGAAAAACAAAAATATTTTCCTTTGTTGCCTAACAGTAAGCACATGTTCAATTTGGATGCAATGCAGAGAGGTCCTGTCATTATCTTATTCAATGCATAAATCATAATCAGTGTCACTTTTCCATCAGAAATCAGGCTTCAGATAAAGACGGTCTAGTACTCTTTTGTTTTAAGAAATGTAACAATCTGGAAGTGTTTCACAGTGTTATTAAATCAGTAAACAGTAAAACACGACAGGATCATTCTACTTATGAAGAATCGTTTTTTAAGAAAAAACACTGCTCATTTCACATAGGGCAGATTCTCCAGTAAGCGAGGTGTTATCTTCTGTTGTGTGATGACCCAATCAACGTGTTCCTATCCAGGGAGATAAGAAAGTGAAGAGGCATTTTGTCCTGTGCTAGAATTCAGACAAAATACCAACTCAAAGAAAATCTAATCTATAAAGCAGACAAGGTCTTGATTTACAGCCTGGTCTCAAGGACACACAGCCTGGCACCTAACTGACAGACAGCAGCTCATTCGTACAGCGTGTAACAATAACACTGATTTGTCACAGGATATACGTTGGGACACTTCGAGTCAGGCATGGTTACAGCAGACTTCTGGTTCAAAATGCAAGAGGATGTGTGTTTCAATGTGCCTGAGGAATTAGATGAAGATGAAATGGTTATACTCCAAAGTGAGACTACAGTCAAGATTAAGCTGTGATTGCTGGAGACTGCAAATTTTATTAGAACAGCCGTCTTGCTGTATTAGGCAATATATTAGTTTTTAATCAACACTGCAATCAGCTTGTAATAGTTTGTATACATATTGTAAGCAGGAGTGTCACAGTAGAGACAATCTATTACAATATGTATGCAGTTATTGGTTTGCTGTGCAGTTCCTAGTTTTTAAGAAATAGCTACAATTAAATTTAAGGGCTAAATTTAACGAATCTTAACTGCACTTAATTGTACATTGCATTGTATAAATGTGTGTGCCTAAAAATTACTCAGTTCCCGGATCTTTCTGTTCTTTCATACAGCAACTGCTAAGGGACAGACAAAGCCAGACAGCTTACAGCTCAAGCCAATAGGACAGATTGGACAAAAATGAAGTGAAGGAGATGAGAGCTGCTTATTGCAATAGGTCTACAGAAGAAAAGCAGGGTAGCATGTTGATTAGCTCTGCTGCATCACAATTAACGGGCTCTGACTTTGATTGTGGACTAAGATCCAAAGATGTGGCTAACGTAACTGATGTCTCTAAATTGCCTCTGTGTTGTGTGGGTGTACTGTGAGAGACTGGTGCCCCTTCCAGTGTGCAGTCCTGTCTTGTGCCCTGTGCTAAACACAAGCGCACACAAGTGAAAGACTGTAACTCCTTCTTTTCACACTGCTGCACGTTTCAACTACCAGCTCCTGGCTGGACATCAAGGGTATTATGAATCATGGGAATGAAATGAAAAAGCAGTCAAAAATGAAGGAAAGAAACCATACCAACAAGCTGACTCCCCCTGAACACACAACGCCCCCCTCCCTTCCACACCAACCTTTCTAACACAGAACTGAGGAAATAAAAAAACACTTCTATCCCAAGAGCCCAGCTAAACATTAGCTCATCGGGTTGGCCTGTGATTCTGAGAAAACATGGACTTTGCACCAAATGTCATTTTATAAGAAGAAGTGCTCGCATTTTTACTGCACTTTCCATCACAAAGGGTCCCAAACCACTTTACATATAGGAAGGAACCCTCCTCATTTACCACTGAAACACAGCACCAGCCTAGAGGATGTGCAACAGCTATGATGTGCCAGCAGCCCCACTGCAGATCGGTGCAAAAATTAGACATTTCTTCAGCAGCTGAATTAAGGGGGTTAGTTCTGGGAGGATAGATCATCCCACAGAACAGAATACAGCCACATCTCTGGGATTAATACCATGTTATCTGGCAAATCATGATTAACACTATTAAGAAAAGCGCCACTACTCACTACTACTGGAATCAGTAAAGCTAACTTGCCTATCTCAACTGTTGACAAACAGATGTTTTAAGCACCGAGAAGTGGAAAGGAACTCCACATCTGCCACAGCAGGATGGCACCATCTCAATTCGTTCTAGCTTCTATACTCTACGGACTTTTTCATAACACTTATTACAACAAATCTCAGTCGCAAAATTAATAAAACGGTTTAAGAGTAGTGCTGCATTCTTGAATTCTTTTTCATTTCTTTACTTGGGACAGGGGCTTGCAATTTTTTCACCTAACATTAACCGAAAGTTAGCACACTGGATATCTTTTACAGTTTACGTGGCCCAACACCAAACTCAATGACACAATCTTAAATCTGCCAAGGAAGCCAATTCAAGAGCTACTATATTTAAAGCATCTTGGGAATGCTTCTGTAATACCTTTGAGGTCAGCTCTGTATTCTAGTTGAAGAATAGTATTCATCTTGGAACCCTGATTGTAATTTTTATGCACTGCTCTATTTAAAAAAAAACTTGCTTTTCTAGGCACCAGGAACTCACACCAGGAGTGAGCTTTCCTCTTTTAGAAGCTGTTCATGCTGGAATAGTAGATCAGCGTTGTAAATAATTATCGTAATAGGTCTGTGCAACGAGGTGAGAAAAGAAAGAAGATAAACACGAAAAGTGCAAACGTGTTCATTTAGGACAGGGGCTTGTCCTCACCTTGGGCGGAGAGAGGAGGGTCCCCAGCAGACGTGTGCGAAGGCTGGAAGAGCTGATCTTCTCCTCCTCCGTGTCACTGTGATGAGCGTCCTTGATCAGCTGGATCTCATGCAGGACGAGCTTGGGGAGGCCCTGTTAACAACCACACACACACACAATATCACTGGTACAGTCCTAGGCACAAGGGGTTGCTGCTCTCACAGGCATGTGGTGGCAAAGCATACTGTGCTGAGAGGGCTAGAGAGCTGCCTGAGCTGGACACAGACCAGGCGGCATCTTAACATGCAGGATGAAAGCAGATCCCAGAATGCCTGCTGTTGACTACTGTTTGGTTTTTTTCAGTTGCCCGTGCATGAGGCGAAAGTTACATTCTCCAGCCGCTTCCTGTTGACCGCCTCCCCTCCTTTCCTGGTCTCCTCGCTGACCACAATGCACTGCAGGCGGGGGTCGGTAATGGAGGGGCCGTAGGGGTCCGCCAGCGGCACGATCTCAACCTGAAGGGAGGGCTTGACGTCCTGCAGGAATTCACGCAGCTTCTGGACTCGCTGGGCGTAGGGCTCGATCAGCTCCTTCAGCACTTTGTCTGGAGAGACAGACAGCAAGTACAGGGGTACAGGGGGGCTCTGCCATCCTGCTGGCTCTTTTTCAAGCAACAGGGAAAGGGGAAGGGGGAGGGGTGAGACTCCCACTGCATCGCAGCTCAATCCACCCCAGGTTTCACTACTGACTCATGCCCTTGCAGAAGTCAACAGCAATTATCTAACTTGTAATCTAATCTCCCATACAGCTGCAGGGAGCTGTCCCTCCTCGAGTGAGCTAGACTGGAAGGCCTGTCCTGGACTCTAAGACAAGACCACCATGACCAGTCTCTACAACCAAAGAGCACTTGCTCAGCAGTCCATAAAGGAAACGGGGAGGCCGCGTGTGAGGAGATCACAGAGTTCAAGGGGGACAGAGCGCCAGACTCACTCTTCAGCAGCTCCCGATCGGAGACGCCTATCAGGAAGCGCTTGTCCGCCAGCAGGCAGGAGAAGTTGAGAAGGGTCTTGTGGGCCCCGTGGAGCCTGTCGAAGGTGCCCCCGACCACCACGTCGCTGTAGGTCTCCAGAAGCTCCGCCGGCCCCCTGGCGCAGTCCTCCGCAGCCACGTCCAGCTGTGGGTCCAGCAGCACGGAGGTCAGGCTGGGCGCGCAGGCGTAGCAGCTCAGCGCATACGCCCGCAGGCTCTGGCGCGCCGGGCCGGGCCGGCCGGGGTCCGGCGGGGCGAAGTCGGTCAGCACCACCTCGGGGCGGTGGGCCAGGGCCTGCGGCCGGGGGAAGGGGTTGACCCCCAGCCCGCGGCTCCGGACGTGGGTCAGCAGCACGCGCACGTCCAGGTGGCCGCACACGCTGGCCGCGTTGCTGTACAGCCGGGTGATGAGGCCCGAGAGGTCGCGCCCGGCCGGGATGCAGACGGGCCGGGCCTGCGCCGCGCTGCCCAAGTTGAGCCCCGGGTGCAGGTGGACGTAGAGCGTCCGCTCCACCAGCTGCGCCGCCGAGCTGAGCACCGGCGCGATGCGCGGGGGGAGGGCGTGCAGGGGCGAGGTCAGGACTAGGACGCCGGTGCTGAACATGGACATGCTGGGGCTGCCTGGGAGAGGAACAACAAGCTCTTCAGACAAGCGCTCTCAAGCAGAAACCAGTCCAAACCAACACCCAGCCAGTGAGACAACAGACTGGAATCTCCAAACCCGGAGACAAACAGCGCAAACTGAACAAGGACTGCTGGACAATTATCTGTTTCGAAGTCATACTGCCCCTGCTGTTATTACAGCATCACCATTTTATTCCCAATGGAACTTGGGAATATCGCTGTTTTTAGAAATGGACATGATCCCATTACAGGTATAGCATCGATTTAACAAAACGAGGCAGGTTTTAAGCTGTTTCGGGTCAACACGGTAGTCTACCACCAGTTTGCTTTGATCCAGAATAAAACCAGTGACTTGGGGATACTTGTCTGCATCATGACTGTTAAAACAGTGGAGAGAGAGGACCAGATGACGAAGGAAATCTACATTTATTTTTTGTTTTAACCACCCTGTTACTGTTTGAGTGAACAGAAACGTCATGAAAACTGTGGAACCAAGCAGGACGAACAGTATAACTCAACTACAGCTCTAGCAGAAAACCATTCTATGCGTTTTTTGTCATTTCACACTTTTAAAAAACTACCCATTTCCCTATGGCCGCTGCAATAACAATTAAATATGCATACGCGTCGGCACAGCTAATTCTTTGGCAGATTAACAGTCACGTAAAGAGACTTCAACTCCTGGATGCTGTTTTACATTTCAATAGCATTCGTCGTATGCTTTAAAAGTTGTGGGGTAAAAACACAGGATTTAGTCGGTCTTTGGAACGTTTTCAGCCTGACGTCTATCCTTCAGCAAATACAACCAGCATACACCGGGTTTAACTAGCGCATTGCAAAGAAACCAGGCTTCACATAAAATTGAGGAAAGAGATCGGTTGCAAAAATTCGATTTTTAGGTTTATAAATATTGAATATTGAATTTCCAAGATGGGTTTTCTAAAGACTTGAACACGTCTGTGTTACTTAACAGAACTACTACGTGATACGTAAAAGTATAATGGTGCATTTACCGTACCGTAGCTTAAAAACCTGTCACGTGAAGAGCTATATTAACATTATTTCGCCTTTTAATTGCACATTATCGTTGATAACAACGTTCGTCCAATACGGCAGGCTTCCCGACAGCTATATTTGACCTACCGGTTACCTAACCACCTGACAAAATACTACGCTCTCATTGGCAGACCGCCTTAGTCACCTGCTCAACATCAAGTCCCAAACTTCTTCGTGGCGCTATGAATTGTGGGTTATGTAGTTTTTCCTCGGGGTGGAAAAAATCCGAACATTCTACTTAGCCTTTACTCCAAAGTATCACATCGATTCGATAAATTGTCCACGCTTACCACTTCGTGCACTAGTTAAGATCATAATGCATCGTTTGCACTACTTTTTTTGCACATCTCTTGTGCTGTCATTTAACTTTGCTGTTGTTGCTGCTGCTGGTCTGTGCTTGCTTGGTGTTTTCTTAATGTCTTTGTCCTGTTGCTTATATGCAAATAAACATTTCATTGCACTTGTGCATATGACAAACTGAACTGAACGTTTCTGCTGAGCAAGAGGTAACAGTTGTAAATTACCTGTTGCCACAAGAGGTCGCCTTAGTTTAGACTTTTTGCGGTGATAGCTTAAAGGCATACAGTTGAAAATCTTACAATGTGTTTTCTGTTTTGTCTTCTTTTAAATGTGGGACCATAATAGAACGAACATCGAAAATAAGAATAAAATTGGCCATCAGCCTCGTTGTTGTATGCTGTAAAACAGTGTTAAAACGTATTCTGCGTGACGATACCACATTGTACACCCATCGTCCCGAGCGTCGTGCCTTCAGTGTGAAGTTTAAAATGGGATAAAACTCGTTGTCTTGCTCCTAGATGGGATCACGAATCAGCACCAGGCCACGCGAGCTAGAAATTGCTGAAAATGGGTTTCTTTTAACGTGATCGTTTGACTTCGAATATCTGAAGTCCTTGAAGTTCTTGTCTGCAACGCTGTTTGACATAACTATTGTTTCGTCCTTGCACAATTATGAGCACACTTTTAGAGATGTACAGCTCTTTTCTTCTGTGTAGAATCGTGGCCTATATTTATGTCGGGTTTCACGTGAATTCGCTATTACTGACAATTACAAACTCAAACGTATGAAGTGTGTAAACGCATAAATCTTCAGTGAGTTTAAATAGTCGTTTATACCCTTCTTGTAACAACGGCGTTCCTCCAGAGTCAGGACTGGCCGCTATTTGCATGAGCTTCTGCACGAGTTATTATTTATTTTATTAGAAAGCTTAACCGTGGTTTACATTTCTAATGAGGAACACAGGGCTTTAAGAGTCTAGTGTTTCGAATTACCGGTGTCTAAATCCCCACAAATCATTTTACCAATTCCCCTGAAGTCACAGCGTCCCCGGCTGCGGCAGAGCGGATGAATTAATGTTGTCAGCAGATTGTGACGGGCCACTTCAATAAGGCTTCAGGTGCGTGAAGGGATGCAGTCGGACCGTGTGTCAGAAAAAAGGCCGGTTCCTGTCATTCAATCCCGAGAGTCCATATTTTCCATGTCGACGCGACACAGCGCATCACTCATACCGTCCGCTGGACACGACAGAAAAGTCATTTCGAATTCCAGGTGGACGGAGATCCTCCTGCCTGTGACGGTGGTGCCCATGCACACGTACCTCAAACAGAGCTTTGCAGATTCTGCTGAAGGTTTTTCTGTGCTGTTTTTTTTACAAAGCTAATGTAACGCAAATCTTCTTTGTTTGGTTGGTTTAAAACGACTAGATTAAAAATGTGCATGAAAGGCAGTGCATTCCCAAAAGGCTGCTTTCGATTAAATTCCCGATCTCCCATGTCGTCTCACAAGAGTTGTGTTGCGTTTGTTTGTTTGTTTGTTTGTTTGTTTGTTTGTTTGTTTTTGCGCAGTTTTCTTGTGGTAGAGATTTGATCCATTTTTTTTCTGGCGTTTTGCATGTGGAGACAGAATTGACGCGCTATATTCCAGAAGCTATCGAGATCTGTTCAGCTTGCACGCTGCGTGCGGTGTATTTCCATGTCTGTCCGATTTGGAAAATACGGGGTCCCATCGATAAAAGTATCGCTAAGTTCTTATTAGAGGCCAACATAACTTTGACATGGGTAAGACGGCACAATTCACGTGAGAATAACGGTGAGAATAATTCAACTTTAAACAACGACTCATTTGTCATTTGTACTAGTATAACAATACTCTTCGTTTTATATAGCGGCTTTAATTAAAGGCAATAATTAAAGCATCGGGTAGAAACATCGTAGGTTTACCCCCATAAATTACCTTCAGGGACTAAAGGATGACTACTGTCACAGTATAACATTGGTATTTACATCTTTTTCAAGGGGTATAGCAACTCTGTGTCGCTTTCATACAGTGGGCTTGACTTTAACTGCGGACGCGTTGTTTTTCTGATTGATTAATTGGTCGATTAAGACAAAATAGGACAGGCAAGGTAGATGCGATCGAGGTTATAACCCGGACCCTTCCGGCACCAAAACCTTTACCTCACCAACTTGACTTTACCTTGGCTGCACTTAAAGCCAGCTTCATCGGAAAAAGACCATGACAAAAAAAAAGGGGGGGACTCATTTGCCCTAAACAACCAGGCTATCCGCGGCAGGTACCGTCCAATGGTATCGCGCACGAACGAGGACCTGCCTTCCCCGGTTCACCGAAGGGCACGCGCATCACTGTCACCTGTGGTGAGAAGAGTGAACGAGCATGGCCTCCGCGAGGACGGGGAGGAGGGGAGCCGCCGGGCGCTCGCGGTCCATCCTGCGTTCATAGCGGCTTATAAAAAGGAAGGGACGCGCAGCGCCGGCCGTGTAGCTCGCGCTGGACTTCCGCCACTCGCCGTGCCCGAGCCCAGAGCGCGTGAAGGTAAGAACTTCTGTATGACAGAAGACAACTGGGAAAGGACGCGGGGGTGCTTCTCTCGCCGATAAGCCTATAGATAGATTTTTGTTTGAAAGAGAGTCGCCTTTTTTTTAAAAAACTAATTAAACTTTTTAATGGCATTCATGCAGAAACGAATGAACTATTTTTTTTTTCTCGCCTTCTTTTTGTATGACTGGAGCTGGGGAATTAAGGTCGCATCGTAATTGTTCTCATTGCAAAGGAATTTCGCCCCGTGTTCAAAAGGTGCACACGCTGTTTATTCTTATTTTGGGTGGAGTTGAAAGAAGACAAGCAGTCCAATGGATAAGAATATATGTACTGTACAGGAACAATACAATTTAGTCGTTATAACGGAGACAACAGTACCGCCTCTTGGACGTCGGCGCGTACGAATGCTTTTCAGATTTAATAAGTTATGCAAACTCTCTAAAGATTTCTTACAAGTATATTTTTAGCATTTGATTTTTATTATAAAATATCGAGTTCATCATCAATATACTACCCAAAGTGTGCAGTAAAATGATAAGCACTGTCGCGCAAGTGCGAATTCCTTTGCTTTGATCAGTACTAAAAAACCGAAAGGATAAACTAGTCGGTATATGAAAAAATAATATGGATAATTAAATTAATTACCTTTTTACTGAGAAGAAATATGAATAGCGTTTAAAAACATCCCTATTAAATGAACCAGTCTGCAGGTCAGTGAATGGTCGCATATAATTCATTTGCAATTATACATAATATACAGAATTGATTTAGCTAATGAGGTGCGGCAGCTCTTTCATTACGTGGGTACAGTTAATTAAAATGTTATTTTATTTAACTATAATACAGGTGTGTCGTATTCTTACAGGGGAGTAACATAGACTACTGCGAAATAAAGAGGATATAGCGGAGTAGGATATACAGTATGACCGATGTATAAAACGTACTGCAGATCTGTGGAAAGAAAACGGGTTGAACTGTCTGGATGTACTGACGCAAAGTCTTCTTGCTGTTCACTGTCTCACTGTCACCTCACCTGTCCTGATCAGCCTTAAGCAGTTATCTCCAAGATTTATACTCTCGTCTGCCCTTTGGAGGCTGAGTTAGAATTCAAGTCAGACCTGTTCTTCCTACTGCTAAATCTCATCGAATTAAACTGATGCTGGGACATTCAGCATGCACACTCAACTAGCACAGATGTAGCGAAGGACTGCCCACATTTTTATTTTTGAGTGAAGTTGGATTCATTAAAAAAAATTATTTGTTGTAGTTTTAGCACAGAAGCTCTGGATGCCAAAAAGGATTCCAGTGGCAGGCGTGCTGTAGAAAATGCAGCTCCCCGCGAGAAGAAACTTTTCAAAATGATTGTTTGGCATCACGATCAGCTGGGATACGCTAAGACTGCCCAGGATTTTAAACGTGTCCTTAAACAGGGAGTCAGAATGATGCCATTTAACCAATACCCCTGCAATAAACTGGATGTTATTGTTTAATTGTCACATGGAATGAACATGGTGGATATTTAAAAAAAATGATGAATACCATGAATAAAACCAGAATTAAGATGAAATCCAATTATCCCACAATTAAAAATGGCACCACTATGGGGCTCCTTCTTTAAAAGCAGGATTGGATTAACAGGTTATTAAACAGCAGCAACACTTTCAGCAGCATTAACAGCAGCTAAAGATTCTTCTATGAGAAATAGGAAATATAGTGAAATATGGTGACAGTTGCCCAAGCTGATTGAGTGACAGTCGACTTCCTCTTAGACACAGTCCAGGATGAAGCTGGCTGCCCTATTATCTGTGTTTTGGGTTTCCTGTCTGTTGGGAGGAGTTCAGAGCCGACCAATATGGGACAACAAGCTGGACTTTCTTGAAAACCGGCTGAGAACACTGGACCTGGCCAGGAACAGAGAGCTGGTAAGTCTGTGCCTTTGAGACCTTTTTAATACCTCATGTTACTTGCCAAACACTTGCATAAAGCTTACAGACCGTGCAATTAAACTGCAGTTAGGATGCATTTGAACACATTCCCTATTACAATATCTGGTTAGGCTGAGAATATGCAACCCTTGCTAACTTCAGAAGTATTTCATTAAGGAAATGAATTGGGGAGCAGAATCTGTGTTGCACAACACCCAGTACACCTGGCCTGAGTAGCTTTGAAAATGTCTGTTCAGAAACTCCCTAATGCTTTTGCTCTTTAGTGCATTAATATAGTGCAAGCTACTTACATAGCACTGCAGTATAGAGCACATAAACAGTGTCTTACCATTAATAAGCAAGGCAGTGTAACAACCTAAGAATTATTCAGAATGTTGACAGCACTCTAAAAGGCACAACCGACAAAGATATTTTTTAATGTCCTGATCAGGGAGGAGGCAGTGTGGAGAACAGAGCACCGGAGCGTTTTGCTGGCACTGTGAAATGTGACAATGACTCCTGCCCCTCCTGTGTGTCCCTGTGTAGTTTCTGAGTGCTCTGCAGTCCTACTTCAGTAACAGAGGGGTCAGTGTTGACCGGACAGCTCCCGCCTTCCTGTTGTTCCCACCAAAGAGCTGGCAAACTCGGACAGATGCCCTGCTGGAGTCCGAGATGCCAGGGGAGGGCACGAATCTGTCAGAATGACAGCCTTACCCATCTGGAGGCATCGGGTAAGACCCTTTGCTTCAGGCAGTATTACTGCCTCTCTTCCACCCACCCATTCACTTCCTTACTGCTTCTTCCAATTCAGCAACTGGGAGAGCCGGAGTCTATCCCAGCAAGCAATGGGTGCAAGGCAGGATACACCCTGGACAGGACGCCAGTCCATCACAGGACAGAAACAGACAAACGCATACAGTACACACTCACACCAGGGCCAGTTTTTCTCAAAAGCCACTGACTGTAGGAGGAAACTGCAGCGCCTGGAGGAAAGCCACGCATACACAGGGAAAACATGCAAACTCCATTCAGATAGCAGATGGAGTCCATACTTGTGTTTTCATACAAATGAAGGGAGATGAGCAAATGAAGACTTGGAGGAGGAGTGAAAGTGAAACAAGTAGAAATTAAATCCTCCTAAATTCCTTCATTCTGTGTGCTTAATGAGCTACCGATTCCTTCATTACTATATGAATGTAGTCATACACTCATAGAAAGGAGAGTTATTGTTGTACATTGATTGTGAATTAATGTCTACATTACACAGCGTATTTCTATTTTGCAGGTGAATTAGAACGACGGACACCATTGTTCTTATAGGATTTTTAAATACTGAAGGAACACGATCTGTACGGACAGGCTTGCCAGGGTGATAATGCAAATAAAATGGAAGACATCTTACATTGTTTTATAATGGTGGTAACTGTAAAACCTGGAACATACTATTCTTTCTATTTTCACAAATAAAGAACCGTCTTTAGCATCTGTGTATGTCAAATGCTTTCCTCAGGACCAAGACATCTTATACAGTAGCGAAAACAAGTATCTGTAACAGTAATACAAGTGACCTTTTTTAAGGGCTAACTGGTTTTCTAATATGATGAATTAGATCACGTTGACAGTTTTTAAACTAGGATAGAACTGAAAATCATTTCTGCCATGGCACGTTTCTGGTAAATTAAGATAAAACTATATTGAAAAGAAAAGATATAGACCACTAATGTGATTGCAGTAAAGGGTTTATGAAGTGTGAGGAACAGGAGATTTTCAGAAACCCCCTGTGATGAACTTAAAGGCTTCTGTACTGGAGGGGTTGCTGGGGATTGTGGAAGGATGGCAGTCTGGTGAATGCAGGAAAATAATGGTTTTAACAAATTAGCAGAGCTTATTCGTGGAAATCCTCACATAAACAAGAGCTTTGATATGTTAAAGAAAATATTAATTTATTTTACTTTTTGTAAACACACTAAGTGTGTATATACACTGATGTATATACCTCACAGCCTGATGTAGCAACTGGAAGAAATAAAAAACACCACTATCTTCACCTCTCAACAGTTTTATAACAGGAACTACAGAAGGGTCATCAAGTTAGGGTGCTTGGCAAATGCATTTTTTTGCATGCTTGGTTATAAAAATACAATCTTGTGAAATTAGGAAGGTACAGCTGCTATATAGATCTAATTTAATCTTAAATTTTACTTTTAACATTGCTACTTGTGAGTCAGTTTCTACATTCGTGGAAACAGGTCTGTAACTTTGCAGACTCTTCAAGCGTCCTCTGTCTGGTTGGCAGAGAAGATAATTTTGCTCATGGTTCGGACATACTGAGATCCGTCCTGGAGGGCCAATTTGAGCGTGCTCAGGGGCATCAGGGCAGTGCTGGTGTAGTAGCGCAAAGCAGGGGAGTCAGCCCTTATGACATCCAAAAACACCTGAGGGAATAAGACACGATTGAGATCGGACACACGCTCAACACCAACTGTAAATTTCACTGAGTAAAACAGATATGTATATAGAGATAAGTAACAGTGTGATTATAAAGCCAGGCTTCATGCATTCCATGATCCAGAGACAAATTAAACTGTAGGTAATACATTGCTTTTAAACATGAAACAAATCCTAAAAGCAATTATATATCAACTAAATCTAATATGGGAGGCATGGTGGTGCAGTGCTTAGCATTGCTGGCTTGCGGTCCAGGTGATCTAGATTCAATTCTGGACCTGGGGTACCATCTCTGTGGAGTTTGCATGTTCTCCCCAAGTTGGTATGGGTTTCCTCTGTTAATGGGCTTCTGGGAAAACTGGCCCTGGTGTGAGTGTGGGGTCGTCTGTGTCTGTGTCTGCTCTGTGATGGAAGGAGAGAAGATGGGTGGATGAAGCCAATACCGGCCGATACTGAGGATCCCACCTTGACAATGTCCGCCGTGTCCTGCGCCGCGTC